CTTTCCCTTTGTTGATTTGTTTGTGGTCTGGTGCTGTTTCCTCTATCTGCAAATTCAGCTCCTTCACCCCGTGTCGACCTCGCCATTAGTTGCTTCTATATGAGTATATAGAGAGGGGCGGGATCAGCGATGGGGAGCGGACGTGACCTGGTGGCAGAGAAGAGCGAGGATTACTTCCCGGCATTTTGTTCTCCACTCAGATGATACCATCTTCATTGCTGACATTCATTTCCTGCCCCATTTATCTTCCCTCTCTCACACCCCCGCTTCAATGTAAACACCCAGAACCTCGGACATTGGCCTCACACTATTCTTGATTCAATGTGAACACGAAACATAGCTCCACATCTACCTTGGCAGAACCTCGGACGTTGGGCACACACTCTCATTTCAATGTAAACACGAAACATAGCTCCACATATACCTTCGTAGAACGTCGGACATTGGCCTCAAACTATTCTTGATTCAATGTAAACACGCACATAGCCTCCCATCTACCTTTGCAGAACCTCGGACATTGGCCTCAAACTCCCATTTAATGTAAACACGCACATAGCTTCACATATACGTTTGGAGAACCTCGGACGTTGGCCTCACACTATTCTTGATTCAATGTAAACACGAAACATAGCCTCCCATCTACCTTTGCAGAACCTCGGACATTGGCCTCACACTCCCATTTAATGTAAACACGCACATAGCTTCACATATACGTTTGAAGAACCTCGTACATTGGCCTCACACTATTCTTGATTCAATGTAAACACGAAACATAGCTCCACATCTACTTTTGCAGAACCTTGGACGTTGGCCTGGTTTCTCACCCATAGAGCACATGTGGGATGGCAGCTTGAATTCAGGCCAGTGGGGGTCCGACGACATATTGACTTTCTCAATTTGTGACGATCACAAACTCTGGAATAAAACAATTAATTGTTCTGAAATATATATATATATTAATCGTTTTTACCATTATAATATTCTTCACATAAATCAATTTTTGTTCCAATCGGACCACCTATTGGTGCGTCGATTTATTATTAATATTATTTTTTTGTAATAGAGGGTATATTAGCGAAAAGGCGCATCTTCATTTTTAAAAAGATTTATTTTAGAAGAGAAAATTTCTATGAAGTATCAAATAAGAATATAAACCGTAGCAATATGTGTTTCTTTATTCGTGTAAAGTACAAGCTATGCCTGTAGAAGGATTATAAAGATCCGAAAGCTTTCACTTTGTACGAATAACGAAAGGTTTTGCTACGGTTTTTATTCTTATTTTATAATGATTCTTCACAATATAAATTAGTAAAATTTTTGAAAAATCTTATTTACTCCGAGTTGAAACAGACATATGACTTGATAAAGCGTTTACTAAACTGGCCGTTAGAGTTATTCCAATAATAGAGCGAGGTATCTCGTGCGGTAGGAACTCTGCGTCGGTCGAGTGCGTACGTATGAGAAGTAGAATTATTTAAGGCTCTAAACAAGAACGTCCCATTAATATCTGCGGTTGTACCGGACGGCTAGGTCTGCCTCACGCAACCCAAATTACCTCAGCAGTCGTCGACACAACTTGGCTTTGTATGGGCCCTGGTCTCCATAGAAATAAATGATCTTCCTGATGCATAGTTTAATGGTGGGCTCCGCCCGTCCAGGGCCTAATGGTTCCACAGCCATCCCCACCTTGTTGCACGGCACGATCGATGGCAGGGTATGCTACTGCTTCGTCTCTACTTCCTGCTGGTACACAGTCATGGGCTGCAACATAATATACATACAATATACGTGTATGAATGTTTTTTATACGCGAAACGTTGCACTAAAAACATTTTTCGAATGGTCAAAGACAGAGAGAACTCACTACAAGGAGAATATTATAAAACTCCGCAAAACGCTTTTTATTTACCTGTTTAAAGACCTCTGAGAAAACCCCAGGACTATAATAGAAAATCTGAGACAATGGAACCTAATGGAGATCGTTTAAACGACTTGAGGAATAAGCAACAATAACATTGATTAAAGGAAGCTTTCGGGAAAGCTCTTTTTCAACTAACTAAAACATATAAATAAGGCAATGGAGTGAGAGACTATATAGCATTTTGCAGAGAAATATATGTAAATATAGGACCTAAGAATTTACATAACTGAATAAATTTGAAGAATTGACTATAAGCAGGTTGATACATTTAGTGAATAGAAATAATAGAATTATGATTTTTTTATATGCCTATTAAAACTTTTTAAGATAAAAAGGGAACGTATTGTAATGATAGCTGTATACTCTTGTTTATGGTTTTAGGGTTCTTCGTGGTTTCTATTGCCTCAAGAGAGGATTATATTTAACTTTGCATTTAGTAAGGCATATGTGGTGGAGTATGAAACTGCCTGAAGTTGTCAGGTAATAAAATTGATTGAGCCCTATCAGGAGCCTCTCAAATAAAATAAAAACCGCGATAAATATTGGAAAGTTTTCACTGATAACCCAATAATACTTTGAAAAAGTTATTAGAATAATTTTTCCACAGGTTACCACACTAATTCGAGATTGAATGTTTAGCCTTCTTCAAAGGATATCAAAATATAGCGGTACAATATTCATATTTTTAATAGAAAACTAGATTTTTACAAATTTCAAAGGTAGAAATGTGGCGTAATTTTCAAACATCTGAAGTTGACACCAAGTTCTTATCTCATAATTCATGGGTAAATTGAGGGCGGATCCAATATTGAGTCAAATATCCATACATGTGAAGTCAAACATGCCCAGATAGAAACGCCAAATGTTATCTCAAGTGTTAGAACGGCACCATATATGTTCACCCTTCCACATATGTTCTCCAAAGATTCCTACAAAATCAATTAAGACCTCATTCCGGTCGGTATCACTTCGATGTCATTTCCAGATGACGGAAACTTGCCGAGATCTTGGTTCCAAACTTTTGTTTTTGTTGTGTGTGTGGGAAGTGATGGCTCCAACATTCCTGGTTTCCTACAATATACTCCCACGTTGTTTGATACAATACATTGTCTGGTGGCAAATATCGCCAATCACTCTCAACACCGCAGATATTTCAGCGATTGTTGGAATTCTATTGTTGGAGGGTTCGACAATAATGACCATATAAATATTCCTCTTGTTGTATTATATGGAAATGTAGAAATTATTGATAATTATGAAGTTCAGTCAGAAAATAAGGAACAATTGATGATATCCTTTTTATTGACAAACCAGAAAACTCTGCATATAAGAATTCTTAACACTCTACTATATATTGATATCAGAAATAAAAAAGGAATATCCTGACCAGGAGCACATGTGCTTTACAGAAGGCAGAGCGCCATCTGGTGGAACAGAAATCAATTCTTATCTTTTTTTTTTCTTTCATTTTTTCATGTGTTAAGCGTATTTACGCAAGTTTGGCCTTGAATACCCATTTCTTGGTTTTTCAAGAATCCTCTGGGAACAAGAAATATTTTTGGTCGCAGTAGTACAGCCTACTCCACGCTGACGAGCACCAAAAGCGCGAAATGCGTTCGTGGATGGCTTTTCTTGATTTATCAAGAAATTGGGTTGGCCAAATATCAGGGAACAGGCTAAATCAATGTTTAGTTGATTTCTGTTCCACCAGATGGCGCTCTGCTTTCTGTAAAGCACGTGTGCTCCTGGTCAGGATATGTCTTCTTTATTTCTGATTTCAACACCTGACCTTTTTATCTTTTTTTATTTTTTTCTCATATTGACATCATTCAATATATTCCTTCTATACATATTTGATCTAGTGTTGTTTCTAACTTGCAAAATCACTTTGATAAAACGCCTTATTCAACTTTCTGAACACTCTTTAACAGCTTGGATTAAAATTCAACACTTTCAAAAGGTTACTACGTATATTTCTTTGATATTCTATTCAAGTATACGATGTCAAGTGAGAGCTGTAAAGGCAGAGTGAGGTATGAAAGTCCACACTTACCCTGGATTCTTCATCAAAGTCAGGCTCGCCGTGTGAGGTCTCGAATTATCCTGATGAAATATGATTTGGGTGTTTTTCAATTGCTCTAATTACTTTTTATAATGATCCACAATACCTTTCTTATTGATAGTATAATTTATTCAAAAATCTACCATGAATATCAGCCCTTCTTGGTCCCAAAGACAGAGATCAGGATTTTGTCCTTGGAAAAAGAAACCTTGGTTCTTTTTCTTCAATGACGATTTTTTAAAGGCCCTATGCATTTGGCGCTTCGAAGAAGGTTAATAATGATAAAATACAAGATTCATCTAGTGTTATCACACTCAAACACACAAAAAGTTCTAACCTATAATATTTTTTTTCTTCTAATTTTAGTGTAACAATTGGATAATTTGTATTTAAAATTTTTGTTTTAATAGAGTTATTTTTCTCAATGAACGTTTTAGGTACAAGTAAACTTTAGCCAATTGTATAATATAGAGATTGAAAGAGATATTTTTTGTCGAATATATGTAGTAATGTGAAACATAGTACAAAAGTGAGTTTGAACTTTGAATCCGGTGGATAAATTGAGCAAAAGGACATCTCCTGATCGGGCAACTAAAAGTTGCTGAATACTTGCGCCATCTATCGGAATACGCGGAAGTGATTAGCTTTTCTTGATTAACGTAAAGATAGAAGCCGCCTGGCCGGCATTCATAATTCTTCAAATTGAATATACTTCGGTCAGTAAATCTTTTTATTGATAAATCAAGAAACGGTATTTGGACAATTCTGGAATAAAATAAAAAAAAATCAACGATTAGTAGTTATTTATTCCGATAGATGACGCAAGCCATCAGCAACTTTTAGTTGCAAGAAATGCCCTTTTTTCTCAATATGTAGAATTATATAAAGGTTAATTGGTCATTAAATGATATATTCGATCTAAATAGATGAGTTTAGAATTTATAATAAAATAAAATATAATGCGGCTTTTGATTGTAAAACGACATTTGAAATACTATCCCGCATGTGCTTCTTATGTCCAGGGTAGCCTAGTGGACATGGCATCTGCCCGGTAAGCGTAACACTGTGGGTTCGTTTCCCATCCCTGGACACTTTTATTTTTCCGTTTATCATTACTCTTCACAATTCAACCTTTCATAGCTCATCCAAAAGGTTAAAAATAATCGTTATTTCACCTTGAAATAAATTTTGAATTTTCGTTGAAAAGAAGCACATGCGGGATAGTATTTTATATGTCGTTTTACAAGTTTAGAATTAATTGCAGACGAGTGTGTGGACTCTCCAAGAATTTTTCCACCGTTAACGATAAAGAGGAAACATGATAGAGATTAAATCCTTTATTTGAAGTCCTATTTGTTCAAATATGGAACATTTAAAAGTATAGATAAAAATAAAACCTCTTTCTTGAATAAAATCTCGAATATTTTATTTTAAAATTCATTTTTAGTGTGTCCCCAACTTGGGGATTATTTATTCCCTGGACGCCCTGGGGAGAATAGGATCTCTGATCTCATTTCATGCCACAACTATTGCGGTTTAGAGACCAGTTCAAACACGGGTTAAATACAATATTGACGGGATTTGGTTTCAAAGCTGTCCTCTCGCAAATTGAATCAGCCTCCTTTAAAAAATATAAATATTAGGTATTTGTTTCTAAGAAAAAACAGGATTAAAACACAATTGTTCATGTAAATTCGAAACTAGTATAGACCTTTTGAAAATAGAGCAATCAATAAACAAATATTTAATTAAAAATGAATATTTGGTATCAAAATATATATCATTTTACCAATATATTAGTTGGCTGAACACCAACCTTTTTCAGGTATTATAAGTTATTCTGTCCTGTGTTTCCAAAATATGCCATATTCTTTGTCTTATTCCATATCAGTTCATATTGTAGACATGCAAATTCTCTATATATGTATACTTAAATTTCCGTTTTATTGTTTTATTCACTATGTAAATCAGCTTTTTGCATAACTGTAGTATATTTTCGGCTTTTTTGTGTGTATATATATGGATTAGATCCGAAAACGTCAGTAGCGTAATTTTCCTGTCGAAGGGCGGTTGAGCCCGAAAGCTTGAAATAAATTTATTTGCTAAAGATACTCATCCTCTCATGTTAATGGGTTCACAATATGAATAATGTGTCAAAACACACAATAATATGTTATAATACCTTGAAAAAGGTTAGCGTTCAGCCAACTTAAAATATAGGTAAAATAAATGAAGAGAGAGAGAGAGAGATTTTGATCCTATATATCTCTCTTAATTTAAACATTATGGGCGTGTATGATTCTTCATAAATTAAACAATTTCTATTGCCCTTACTGCAATTAGAAATATATTTTTTAAATTTATAATGGAATCATACACGTCTATAACAGTTTCGAATTTTCATAACAGATGGCGCGCTAATGCATCATAATACAATTGTTCATATCGAATAAATATTTCTGATAAATTAAGAAAGTATTTGTATAGTATAGTTAATATATTTTACACAAATAAATTTACTGGCAATGCGTTTCTTTTAAATATCATCAAATATTATCTCTACAGACCTTACTGCAATGATGTGAGTTATTGAATGAGTGGGCCCTCTCATTCTATAACTCATATTATTGCAGTAAGGTCTGTAGAGATAATATTTGATGATATTTAAAAGAAACGCATTGCCAGTAAATTTATTTGTGTAAAATTTTAACGATAGATGGCAATTAAATTTAATTTACTAATATATATAGTTAATATATACTTAATAATTGAAATTACAAATACAGAAATATTATAGAGAAAGGAATGTCTTGATCGCGTGCAACTAAAAGTTGGTTTGCGCCATCTGTCTGAATATACAAGGTGTACCAGGTAAATTGGGACTAACTTTGACAGTCCATAAAACAAAAACTACTTGAGATTAAAAACTTGTTTTTTTTTTCATTACGTAGCCATATTCATGTAAAATGCAACAGTACATGTGTGCGCAGTGTAGTGATGAAGAGTAACCGAGAATTTGAAAATCGAGCTGCCATCATCGTTGCTCTGCGCGCCGGAAGGAGCCCCAAAGAGATAGTGGATTTTCTTAAGTTGCCCAAAACCACTATTTATCGTGTCAAGAAGCAGTTTGATGAGGCCGACAGTAACAAAGAGGGGATAGCTACAAGGAAAAATCACTCGCGTCGATCGGACAGGGTAAGAGGCGAAGAATTTGTCAAAAATGTCAAGGAGAAGATTGATGGAAACCCTGGGAAGAGCATGAGGGCCATAGCCAAGGAAATGGACGTTGGCTCTATGACAATTGTCAGAACTATCCATGAGGACCTTGGTCTCAAGTCTTATGCCCTTCGGAAAGGTCAGTTGCTGACTGAGAATATGAAGAATAACAGAAAAGGAAAGGCTGCTGCCCTCCTCAACAACCTGAAACACGACTCTTTTGGCATGCTAAGGTTCTTCTCTGACGAAAAGAACTTTGACGTGGACCAAAAGGTAAATCCCAGGAATGATCGCTGGATCTGTAAAGACCCCTCAGAGATACCTGTCGTGATGCACACGAAATTTCCTGCCTCCGTAATGGTCCTTGGCGTTATCAGCAGTGAAGGTGATGTCATGCCTCCCCATTTCTTTGAGAAGGGCCTTAGGATGAACGCTGACACCTACATCAATGTTCTGGAGACCGTTGTGAAGCCTTGGATGGACATGGTGGCCGCAGGAAGGAAGTATGTCTTCCAACAGGACTCAGCTCCAGCCCATAAGGCAAAAAAGACACAATCGTGGCTGACACTTAACGTCCCTAGTCACTGGGGTCCTGATATTTGGCCCCCTAATTCTCCAGATTGCAATCCCCTCGACTACTATGTATGGGGCGTTGTTGAGAGAGATGTCAACAAAGCTCCTCATACCACCATCCAGTCTGTCAAGAAAGCAGTTCACACGGTGATGACCCAAATGGACAAGGTCATCGTCGCCAAGGCCTGTGCTTCATTCCGCACTCGCCTCGAGACTGTTGTAGCTAATAATGGAAACTACATTAAATAAATAAAAACTATATCCTTTTATCTACTACTGTGTCAAATTTCATTCGGCTATTTTAATTTTTACTTGCAAAAAATTTCAGTTAAAATACCATTGTTGAAATTCCCAATTTACCTGGTACACCCTGTATATATTAACTAACCGTTGATTTTCAATTATTCCAGAATTTGTCTAATATCCTTTCTTTATTAATTAAATAAAAGTAACCATTTACACGTTCCAGGCTTTTGGCTCTCGTCAGGGTTATACTTAAAGGGTATTTGATCAATTATGGAATAATTAGAAATCAACGATTAGTTAACATTTTTTCCGATAGATGGCGATATCCATCAGAAATATTTAGCTGCAAGAACAAGGGGAGTATTTTTGTTATTTTATCCAACTGATCCCAGTACAATATCAATTTTGAAATATTTAAAAAACTGAATGTTTCTATTAGCTCTCTGACAACGAAATATTAACTAGCTTTTTATTTATTCAGAGTTGATCGTCTATATCCTTTCTTTGAAATATTAAGAGAAACCAACTAGGTACAGGTTTCGGTTTGTTGGCTTACATCAACGTGGTACTAGCGTGGTATACATCTTTTATTAATTGGAGGGTATTTGAGTCCAAATGTGCTCAAAAAGCAATTAAACGTGAATATATAGTACAAAGGTAACATTGTATTATGATCTGATGGGTAAATTAATATAATGAACGATAAGGTGATGCCCTTTTGTGAAGCTATCAAATGTTTTGAAAGAGTTTCAAGGAAGAAGCAAATAGAAAGAATGAAAGGTATTTTTCTTAAAAATTTACATATAGAGTATAAAACCTTAGAATGAAACATCTTTTTTATTGTAAATACTTTCCTGGCCCACAGGGCACACAAAATATTTCCAAAATGACGTTAGAGTTACATGCACCTGACTAATGTACGACCTCATCTAGCGAGGTAGTACCTGACGTAGGTGAGAAGGACGGAATGGAGATGTGGGAGAGACGACCCCATCTAGCGAGGTAGTACCTGACGTAGGTGAGCGGGACGGAATGGAGATGTGGGAGAGACGACCCCATCTAGCGAGGTAGTACCTGACGTAGGTGAGAGGGACGGAATGGAGATGTGGGAGAGACGACCCCATCTAGCGAGGTAGTACCTGACGTAGGTGAGCGGGACGGAATGGAGATGTGGGAGAGACGACCCCATCTAGCGAGGTAGTACCTGACGTAGGTGAGAGGGACGGAATGGAGATGTGGGAGAGACGACCCCATCTAGCGAGGTAGTACCTGACGTAGGTGAGCGGGACGGAATGGAGATGTGGGAGAGACGACCCCATCTAGCGAGGTAGTACCTGACGTAGGTGAGAAGGACGGAATGGAGATGTGGGAGAGACGACCCCATCTAGCGAGGTAGTACCTGACGTAGGTGAGCGGGACGGAATGGAGATGTGGGAGAGACGACCCCATCTAGCGAGGTAGTACCTGACGTAGGTGAGAGGGACGGAATGGAGATGTGGGAGAGACGACCCCATCTAGCGAGGTAGTACCTGACGTAGGTGAGCGGGACGGAATGGAGATGTGGGAGAGACGACCCCATCTAGCGAGGTAGTACCTGACGTAGGTGAGAGGGACGGAATGGAGATGTGGGAGAGACGACCCCATCTAGCGAGGTAGTACCTGACGTAGGTGAAAGGGACGGAATGTAGATGTCGGTGAAACGACCCCATCTAGCGGGGTAGTACCTGACGTAGGTGGGAGGGAGGGAATGGAGATGTGGGAGAGACGACCCCATCTAGCGAGGTAGTACCTGACGTAGGTGAGAGGGCCGGAATGGAGATGTGGGAGAGACGACCCCATCTAGCGAGGTAGTACCTGACGTAGGTGAGAGGGACGGAATAGAGATGCCGGAAAGACGACCTCATCCCACGAGCTGGTGCGGCAGAAAAGAGAATGAGGAGGGATCGACCCATTGATCCGCGCCAGCTGCTCTCATCTATTTACATCTTCTTAGATCCTTGCCGCGCGGCCGGGTAACCCGCTCACACCTCGCATCAGCCAATCATTGCTCGAGAC